CACGAGACGAGCTTTATTTCGAATTACATTACCTTCCTTTGTCCATTTTGTTTCTGAATACCCATTTGAGACCAACGATTGAGGCATCTTTAGGTGTTGGGATAAGGCGCCAAACCTTGTTGCGTTCAATCTCATTGAGTTCATCTTACATAGCCTGAACCCAATCAGAATGATCAAGAGCTGTATTGACTGTCTTCGGCTCAACTTTGGACACGAAAGAATTAAACATGCAGAACTCTACTTTGGAGAATAGAGAGGCTTGCTTTGCCTTCACTTGGGAGCGGGTCAGGACCTCTTCAAATACATTACCCACTATCTGAGATATATGATGATCTCTGGTCCATTTAATGAGGGGAGGATAGTTTGGATCATAGGATGGATCCAATTTGGCGTTGATCATTTCTTCCTATTCAGATTGACTATCGTCATCATAGAACATATCAGAATTCTCCCCCTCGACTGATGATGAAACAGAACTCTCAGGTGTAGCTGGACTTTCGGGTGTGGCAGGACGTTTGGGTGATGCAGGACTTTCGGGTGATGCAGGACCTTCGGGTGATAAAGGACTTTCGGGTGATACTAGGATAGAGTTCTCCCCCTGAAAGTGTGCTAAGGAGGTTCGTTTGGAACATGCTCTCTGTAACAACCCGAAATTGTTCGTCGCCAAAACCCATTCTACCTGAAAAGTCGTCGTTATCAAATTCGTTCCATTTTCTCTTTGGGATAATTATTTTAAACTTATATGTTTATTTTAATTTAATGAGTGTCTAAATCACTCAGGAACTCACGTAATTAGCTCGAAAATAATTATTTCATAAGTTTTAGAAACATCCCTGCCGGGTGACAGTAACTTAATCGGGTGCGACCAAAAGCCGCGTTTAACGTCGGTATCGGGTAAAATTCCACCGTGTAAAAGTTTTAAGACCTATATAAACATGTTTTAGCATCCATTTGAAGCTTTTTCCTTCTCTCTCTACTCTCTCTCTAACCTCTCTCATAAATCCAAGTTAAAGGGTCCAAAACTCAAATTTAAGGCTTCAAATCTCTAAGGTACATTCCTTAGCTTGTATTGTAACCTTCTTAGCCTTCAAATTCGAATTCAAAACATGATTTGTGACCACATTCATGAGTTTACGGCCATGGAGCATTCATGGGCCGTAAACTCACAATAAGTGGGTTTTTGAGCCCTTAAACCCCTCCTTGATAACCTTGGGACTTAGATATGGGTAAATGACTTCAAGATATGGACTCTAAACAATTAAAACATGAACTTTGTGAAGTTTGAAGGAGTTTACGGCCAAGGATCATTCTTGGGCTGTAAACTCATATATCTAGGGTTTTTATGCCCTTAAACCCTTCCAAATCACTTATATGTCTTAGTTATGAATTATACAACATTGATAATTGCATTTGGACACTTGAAACATCAATTTTGGAGGATTATTGTGAGTTTATGGCCAATGCTTGTGCTTGGGCCGTAAACTCCATAAAACATGGTGCAAATCCGTTTCTAGGGTGTTTGAAAGTCATCCAACACCACCAAAAGCCATGGAATAAATCAAAGAACCAACCAAAAATAGTTTTAGGGCTTTACAAACATCAAAAGCCCACATTTGAGAGTTTACGGCCATAGAACATGTCTCATGGCCGTAAACTCATAAAAGGGTCTCAAATGGTGCCCTAAACTCATTTCTAGGCTTGTAGGAATTTTTAGAATCACATGTGATTAATTTTAACACCTTAAAAACACTAAATCAAGGGGATTTGAGAGTTTACAGCCAAATACCCCATGCCTAGGCCGTAAACTCCCTTAAGTATTGTAAATGATGTTTTTAATTCAATACAAGCCTTAAGTAAAATTAATCCAAGCATTTCCAGGTGTCCATATCCATTTATGACCCAAATTTGCACCATAAACCACCCTACCATGAGTTTACGGCTGTAAACTCATGGGGAATGGGTGTTTTGGACCAAAAAATCTTGTATAAGTTTATTCATGGGGAGTAAAATCAAGTCCCAAGTCCCTCGCTTCAATTCCTGTCCTTAAACGCCACCCGGGTCCCTCCAAACACTTGTATCGGAGTGTTTTCGCGACTTGAAGCAATTATCCCTATCCAACAATCAATCTAAGTCCTAATTAGATACAAATGTGTATCTTTACTTCATAATTAGGAACCTGGTGTGTTTACAAGCCCCGGATCAAATCTTAGCATCCAAATCGTCACAACTCTTTGTCAAAGATACATAGTGTGTTCTTAAATTTCGATTATGATTACGGCATTCCAAAGACAATATGACAGAAGATTCATAAAGTATTAAATCTTCATGTAAGACATTATGCATCATGTCCCATACGCTTCAGGTATAGGATCGATTCCAAATGCTATAATATTTGACCATTCTAAAATTTTTCAAATATCTAGCGCATTAAGAGGGAAAAGGACAAGAATCGGTTTTGACTAAGATAATTAACAACTATCAAAAGACGATCTAAAGTTCGTTGAGGATTGGTTGCTTGTAAGTAGTTGGAAGTATGATATCGGATAGAGCATATCGACATTATTATGAATAGATAAGATTCTATTAAGAATGAGTTGTGGTATGGTAAGTATGGAAATGTTTCCATATTGGGAGTTACATATTGAGAATCTATGTCTACATTTGAAACTTTATGCAAAAGGATGTTCAAAGGAATGTACTTTGAGTGAGATACATCAAATCTATGGAATTGTCTTGTAACAATTTCCGATAGAGAGCTTTGTAATTCATTGGCAATAGTCATTGTGACCTTAGTGCAGTGACATTACAAAAGGATCATTGCATAAAATGTTAGAATCTAGCATATTCTATAAGTGGCGAGAATTTGATATCCTTACACTTATGATAAGGATTGGGAGTTGTGAAATGAGTATGATTGGAAATTTGTTCATTTGATCTATTTCACAAAGTAAGCACCATAGGTAAACGTTGTGTGCATGCTAAGAGCATGGGACAAGTATAGTTATAGTTCAAGTAAGAAGTTGATTACCCGAAACGACAAATAATGAGTAATCGATATGGTGATAAATAAAAGGTGTTTTATTTATACTCAAAGGTTTGAGGCCATATGGGATTAGTATTATTCTGGTGTTTCACCTTGCATGTTTTGACTTCCTGAATAATTTAATTGGTTAAGAACAGTCAAATTATTTGAACAGCCACAGTCGTTCATATGTTGGAAGTAGGTATGAATGAAGACTGTCGTGAATTGGTGTGTGGATTATCTACAGAGCATTAGACATAAGCAAATATTTGCTGCAACGTTCATGAGTGCTTATGAATATGATTTGAGCATTGGATTAAACCCACGCTCACTTGGATCACTTCATGGATTTTATCACGAGTGATTGGTGAGACGATAACATCTTATATTATTGAAACTGAGATGTGTGAGTTGTATGTTACGAGTCGGTTGCATATTGATAATATGTAAATGCACTAGTAACTTGGTGTTATAAAACATATTGTTGTGTGTGATTTGGTGAGTGAGTGCAAGCGAGCATTGAGTCAATGTTTATCCGTTTCTTTTATCCAAAGTAGGATAAAAGCGATATCTGTGGGCCCCTCGATGATTAGTGATGGCACTTAAGCGCTTGGCCAAGCTGGGACTGAATTGATGTGTTCAATTGTAGTCTATTGTCAGTCGTCATAAAACTGAATTCGGGAAAGAACAGATAGACGGAGAGAATGATTTAGATCCGTGTCCCAGTCTATACGATATCTAGAATGGAGGAATATATGATCCCTTATCTAAAGGACACGCGTATATGATAAGATCAGAGTTGACATCGGCTTTAGACAGCTACGATTGCAGATCTGGATCTGAAGTCATACGCGGAATAGTTTTTAGACTTATCCAAGTGGGATTCTGTTGGATTAGTGTCTAAGTCCATAACTATTTTGGTATGTACTTGACCCCGATGGTACATGGTCCTTTTGGGTTGGCTTCACCAAAGCAATTTGATACGATGAATTATGGAGAGAAAGTATGAAATATGATTTATTAATATATTATGAGAATAATATATTAAAGGAGAAATCATATTGTTTAATTAATATTAGTCAAGAATTAATAAGAATTATGTTTGTGGCTAAAAGAGATTAATTAAACTTAAGGGACTAGAATTGTAATTATAAGATATTGCAATCGGGCTATGGATTACCTTGTAATATAAGGTTGGACGAATTCTATGGTGAAACCCGTTAGAAATTGTCCAAGGCTTATTAAAGAAGGGTCCATGGGTTGCTTAGGGCCTAAGCATCCAAATTAGGGTTTCCTAGTTGAAAACCCTAATAGCCTACATGTATAAATAGTACCCTTAAGCCCCAAAAACGTGGTGAACTTGTTCTCTAGGGTTTCCACACGTTTTGGGCAGCCTCCTCTCTCCTTATTCTTCATCCTCTTGCTCTTGGTGTTTGTGATCCATTAGAGGAGTGACATTTGTCACTCTAAGCTTTCTAAAGTCATTACAAGGAGGAATTGTGATTTTTATGGCTACATAACAATCAAGGTAATATCTTAAACTATTTCATATGTTATATTTATTATCATATACTAGATCTAGGGTTTATAGTCTTGGATGAATTGCCTGTACATTAGAGAAACCTAGATCCAAGCATTAGGGTTTGTATGAGCACATAGGATGTTCTTATGGTTAAAACCCATCAACACATTTGCAACGTGAATACACATAATAAAAAAACAAATATATATACCAAAACATTCATTTTCATCTAAACATCAAAAAGGTTACCTAACAACATTACATATATGTCGAATTACCTAAGTTACACTACATGTCAAGATACCTAAGTAACACTACTAAAAGTTAATAAAAGCATGTACACATGGGTGTCAAAAGAATACCTAGCATTACACCACATGTCAAGAGACCATACCTAGCATTTCGTAGTTAACCATAACATTGTTTTGCGGATACATTTTCAAAAGACCATACATATTATCGATAAATGAAGCCCATAATAAACTCTGACCATTCTTCACGTATCTCATCGATATCATCAGTTGTGTATTCAACGTTGCCATCCCCGATCTGTGAAAAGAATTTGAATATTGTTTTATTAATAAAAAATATCATATTAACATATTCTATAACAGTAAGTTGCTATATTTAACAGATAAGCATAAAATGTAAATTATTCTTTCTTAATAGGGGATTGTACTTTCAAATTAATGACAACACATTTTATTTTTGCATGTAACCTAATAATTCTATTATAATTGTGAGAGTAGGATGCCATAAAATGATCGTTTTTTCAATTCCTTTCCTATTAAATTATAGTAATGAAAGTAGAATGTTATATCCTTACATTATCTTTGACCAACACTTCAATTCCTTCTTCCATTATCTCCTTCATGAACCTTAGCATGTAGTAGCCACATTCAGTAGCTCCAGGCTGAACTGGACACTACACAATTACATATAAAATGATCATTGCAATTGATCCAAAAAATAAAGTTAAAACTACAATTTCAATAAGGAATTAAGTGTTGACCGTAACATTGACCCAATTTAGCTTAACCCTTTTGTTGGATCCAATTTGTGTAGCGTACATAACCATTTCCCTATACAAAAAGATCAACAAATAGGTGTTTATTGTATTCACATCAACTGTTCTGATAATTTATATTACTTACGAATCAACAATTTGCTTCAACTGCATATTGAAATTGCTAGAACTAAAAAAATCAAGATAATAGCAATCATCTGATTTCATGTCTAGTACACCCAATAACCAATGTCTTCTACAAATACCACAAGCAAATATTAAGTCAAATAACATAATTGCAAACATTTACAAAATAAAATTTCAAATTTAAACCCGAGATTGTAGGGCATAAAGATGATGTCATTACCCTTTCTACTAGACAATCGATCTGCTAAACCTCTGCTTGCATCGTCAATATTCTTTGATTTCCCTTTACGCATACTTAGAAAGATTAATGTTGGGTTCACAAAGCGAATTCCGTGATCTCTTTCAGGGAGGCTATACTTCATTTTGTTAAACAACACACTGTTATCATACAGATGCTAAATTCATTAAAAAAAAAATAAGACACAATGGTATTTAAATTAAATTTCTTTCACTTACATCATATAAGACACAATGATAGCACCAGTAAGTTCATCCATTGTAAGAACCGCTTCAAAATCATTCCAAGTTAAGTATGTGTAACTATCATACCCAAAAAGATCGTTCTCACTCTGCACATTTATAGAATCAACCATTGTAACATGTCCATCAGCCATCATTGCAGTCATTTTCAAAATACTACTCTTCTCAATCCTTATCCTTGTCTTCATTTGTGCTCTGGTCCACCTTCTTTGCAAGGTCACATTTTGTTTCTCCTTCTTTTTAATCTTCATTTCAATTCTATTCCCTTCTTCCACATCACATGGTTCTTTTTGTTCATAGACCATTTTTCCTATCCCCTTTTCTTTCTTATTACTTTCTATTTCTTCTATGAAATGTGTTGCACCTTCCTTTACTGATGTTGCATCTTTCTTCACTGGTGTTGCATGTTTTTTTATAGGTTTCCCCAACACTTTTCCCTACAAAATATATCAAAAATACAAAATTAAACAGGAATCATTTACTAAAGCTGAAAAGAACTCACTCAAGTATAAAAAAAAAATAAGAAAACCAAGGGCAAATCTTCGAAAACTGTGTATGTTTTAAATCTGTGAAACTTACGAGGTCAGAGCATCGAATAACTAAGTGTCTTTGCCAACTTAGTATGTGTCCTAGTGCATCTTTGACCTTCACAATGAACACCTGTTCAAGTAGAATGGGTATTAAAGCTTCTCGTTGTAAATTTGTTTCCATCATAACTTCAATGTTTTCATCTGTTATATAAACGTAAAAATTAATTAAGATCCAATCTTCTTAAAAATTAATATATATATATATATATATATATGTATATATGTATATATATATATATATATATATATATATATGTATGTAAAGTTATAATGCAAATATTTTTCAAAATACCAGATGCACTATACTTCATTATGGTTCCTTTAGCGTCTACATTTGATGCAAATTTAACCGCAAGAAGACAAAAATTATCCTACCAAAATATAGTATGTTAGTTTGTAGAAAAAGAAAATACTTTAAATATATTTTTAATAATTCTCTTCAAGGACTTACAAGTGATTCATCCCATGGTTCTTTTCCAACATCTTCAATGACACCCCCTACTTGGCAACTTGTGGCTTCAGAAACATTAAGTACACCTATTTTTAGTTTTCCAAGTCATCTTTATGTTTTTGATTCATTTATCCACCCTCTCATTCTCAATCTCCAAGTAATACTTAAATTTCTTGGGTAAATAAAAGTATTGTTATGGCGTTATAAATTTACCCATCCTTTGTACATGCCCATGTTGTTCCTAAGAACCCAAGGCCTCTGTAAGCACATCATGTGTTCCACATGTAACCTCTCCAAAGTTTCCTGATTTCTGTAGCTCATCCTATAAAAAATTGGGACAAATGTTAGAAAATAAAATGGGACAAATTATCAAGGATAACAAAGTCAATGAAACTTACAATTTTGTCAGCAATCATCTTCACATCTGATTTGTATCCTCCTTTCTTCAACTCTCTTATTTTTTTTCTCACAATAGCGTCCTATCAATCTCATCTTCCGTCTTGCCAGTTTCTTGCATCTAAATTATCAAGAATAACAAAGTCAATTAACATAGATATATACAAATAAAATAATCAATACTTAGTGGGAATCATACAATATCATTAATGAGTCCGACATATCGTTTTATGCTCAAACGATGATTGTATTTATGATGTGCACGAGTGTTTTTAGCTTTCGTACTTTTCTCCTTCATTAGAAACATTAAAACTATGACTACAAAATTTTAAATTTCCACTTTTTGTAAGTCTATACGATACAAATATAGAAAAGAAAAGTTTAATAAACCTACCACTGTTTTGTACCTCTATAGGATACAAAAACTTTCCAGTCTTCTTTTGTTATAAACGGAGGTTTGAATAGATTATCCTTTGGATCTTTACTTCGGTTCTTAATGAACTTGGCATATAGATAATGTTTGAAGTTTCTCCACTTCTTCCCGATCGATTGGAGAGTTTGCTTCCAGCTCTTTCGGTCTACTACAAACTTTTCCTGAAACATAAAAAAAGGTTAGTCCATAACCAGGGACAAAAATAGATCTTAACAGGGACAAAAACGAATCTAAAAAAAAGGTAACAACAGGAAGAAACAGAGAGATACCAAAAAATATTGCCATAATCCTTATTTTACTTCAACCCTAACTTCCAACCATAACTGATAGGTTATGGGAACCATTGTTCTTGCAACCAAACCCTCAAAAGTAGACAGTTTTGTGGCTTCCTTTCTAATCGGGACACCATTTTTATTGAAAGTTACTACAAGTTTCACTTAATTAGCTTTTGCCTTTGTTGTTGGACCTCTTTGTTTGGAGTCCTCATCGTGATTAAGTACATTGTTATTTGTTTGGAGTCCTCATCGTGATTAAGTACACCATGTCGATGTCACAAAAACACACTCTGTTTCAACAAGATTCAAATAAAATTAAGTACATTGTTATTTGTTGTAGTTGGAAAAAAATTAATCATGTTCAAAATCTGAAATACAAACATACCAAAAAACTTTATTATTCTGCATAAAAACATTTAAAGTAATATGTCCTCGCCATCCGGGTGCATACCAAAAAATCATCATCAAGGTCTAATAAAGCGGTGTGTTGTATTAAATCAAAAGTAGCATCAAATTCCAACATATCATCAGTTTCACATTTTGATCCATACTTGTACATTCTATGTGGTGTGAATCCAACAACATTCAAATTCTCATCTTCTTGATCTTCAATATAAAAAACTTGTTTGACTTGACTAGCTAATACGAATGGTTCAGACATCTGACGAAGCCTATCAAAGGTAACTACCATGAATCCAAAATTAAAATTTTTTACTCCACAACTATCAACCTAATCACACATGAATACAAGAATAGTAAACATGTGATAATCAAGATCCCATGTCTCCATTATAGGACCGAAGTAAGTAACAACACCATACACATGATTGGACTCTTTTGCACTAACATTCTGCATAGTATGTGCAACCAAAGATACTCTACTGCATTGAGTTGTTCTAGACTCATCTCAATATGTTGTATGAAAATTATACTCATTTATGGTAAAACCGCTATACTTACTAATAGCAAAATTAGGCCCTTTGGCCAACCGACGAACATCATCACAAGTATCATCCCCATTAGCCAAACGTTTTCCAACCTATTAGAAAAATATCTAATTAATGTAATTCAAACAAAATAATTAAAAATATTGTAATTCTAACAATTTTATTTTATAAATAAACCTCTTTCTTAAACCAACCAATAAATGTCCGACTATGTTGGCTCTGCAACCATGTACTCTTGCTAGCAGGACAGGGGTTGAGATCCTTCAATTCCAACATATGTTGTCTGAAGTGTATTACAAGTTAGAAGAATGTTTTATATGATAGATAATGGTATAAGAGTATAAAGTTTCATGTAATTCTTACTCTATATACGGCTCCACAACATCAGTGTTTCGTAATACATATAGATGAGCTTGATCAACTAACTGAGCATCTGTAACATCAATTGTAGCCTTTGATAAAGGCTTGCTGCTACGGATTCTTTCATCAACACGGTCATGAGGATTGCCAATTTATTTATTTCATGTT